AACGGACTGGTAGCCTGGTGTGACACCCTGGCCTAGAACCCTAAAGGAGTCAACCCGAGCAGAAGGGGAGAGCCTAAACCAACCCTGAACATCAAGCGGTCCATGTACGCACGGGCACCAGGTAACAGCCCAGGCGGTAAGCCTGGCCTGCGGACAACTACCATGAAGCGCCGTGCCGTCAGTGAACATGTGCCAGGCCGTAGGTGATTCGGCAAGTGGCTGCGCCAGCGGCGGCAAGGATAGGCGGCGACACAGAAGCCGAAAGACAGGAAGGGCTTCAGGGATCGGGACCCAAGCCATATGCATCCAATGAGGTTCTTCCCTAGCCACCCGCTCAAGAATGGACCAATGGCGCGCGCGGGCCGCAGAGAGAGCGGGGCATTCCAGGATCCGGTGGGACTTGGTGTCCGGCTGGCCACACAAGGGGCACGATTCTACAGCGGGGTCCCCCCATGAACTCCTCTCAGCGCCACTCATGAATGCTCCAGCGATGTGACGGCCTAGGATGCGCTGTTCCCAGGGCTGAAACTGCGCCAAGCAGTATTGAGTCTGGCAAGCGTCAGGCACTGCAAGTGTGCTACAGCCTGTGCGCTGAAGGCAAGCATCATGGATTGTGTCGGTCCACGCAACTGCAATGGCCCCTCCGATCTGGGTAGGAGAGTCCAGGCGGACGTTGAAGCTGGCATGGAGAGGGCCACAACATAACCCAGAAGCTGAAGTGGTCCAGGCATTGCGGTGCAGCAGGGCCCTCAAGGCAGTGGCAGGCCCAAACACAGACCGGTACGGGATGGACTCATCCAAGACCACCGCCCACGCAGCGGCTGCCGCAGCAGGGTACAAAGCGAACATTCGGCGGAACTGTCGCAGGTGGTGCGTCAAGAGGTAAACCTCCGGGTCCCGCACCCGTGCGAGGAGCGACATAGCAGCAAAGGGGGACACGGTGTGGTGATTCCCAGCCAGGGCACGGGCGGCCGCGCCGCGCATTTGATGAAGGGCAGCTTTGGATGGGGCAACGGCCTCAGAGCCATAGAAAAGGAAGGGCCACACACCATTCTGGATGCAGCGGGCTTTGGTGTCAAGGCAGGTATGGTCTGAGGCTATTTTGGCCAGCCTACGGAGCGCTTCCTTGCACTTGGCATAAAAAGTTGCGGCACCACGTCTTCGCGAGAACTGCCAGTGGGCTCCGAGCTCCTTAACAGAACCAACCACAGCAACATGCTGCGCAGCAGGCAACAGGGAAGCAGTGGTATCAAGGAGCCACTTGCGGTCATCCGCAGTGGTGGCCCAACAGTAGGACTTGTCCCAGTCAATCTGCAGGCGCAAAGTCGAGGTTAGATGCTGTAGTGAGAGCAGGCAAGGAGACATGCAATCTACAAGGTCTGTGGACCAGCTCCAGTTGTCAACGTATGCCCTTGGCGTGGCGTAGGGTTGCATCACAGTGTGGTAAACGTAGCAGATGCTGATCATGGCCAGAACGCTAACAGGGTCCCCTTCTGGGGCTCCAGTGGTAGAGCTCATGGAAGGGGCGAGATGGTTTTGGACCTGAAAATGTCTATTGACCCGGTTCAGGCTCGCGTGCCACACTTTACACAGTGAAGCAGGAAGCCCAAGATGCTGGAGGCCCAGAGCCAGTGGGGGCCTGGGCAGCATGTTAAAGGCCTTCTTCAGGTCAATGGACCCCCCAGAGCGAGACTCATTGGAACACATGGCTATCTCAATGTCCGCTTGAGCTAAGAAACACAAGTCTGGCGCGGACCTACCAGGAAGGCAGCCCTGGACTCCTTCTGGGATGGTGTGTGCCCAAGTGGAAAGGACCTGTGTGCAGAGGACCCGCCCCCATAAGCGATACAGCGCAGAGAAGATTGTTATTGGCCGTCCATGTGCAGCTTCAGTGGGCTTCGGGACCTTGCCAACAAAAACCACCCTGGCCATCATGAGGCTTAGTGGGAAGCAGGGCAGGGATGCCATGATACTCGCAAGATGAACAAGGGCCAAGGAGGGAAGCATTCGCAGCTCAGCGTTGTGCCAACCACAGGCCCCAGTAGCCTTCTTAGGATTCAGGCGTCGCGCCACATGTAACCACGCGAGTGGATCCTGCATGTCAACAACTGGGCGCTGGGAAGGTTCCACGCAGCTTTGCAGGAGAGCTTGGTAGCCAGGCCAGTGTTCGATGTCCTGGGACTCCGGCTCCGAGTCACGCTGCCAGATCGGCGCCCAGTAGTTAACAAGAGCAGAAGCAACACCGGACGGCGACGTTTCAACCCGCGGCTGCACGATAGTGGTGTGCAGGGGGACGACAAAGTCCTGGTCAGAAGGAAAGAGGACAGTCACCGTGGCAGTAGTGATGGCGGTAATTTGGCCCTGTGTGCCTGCAACCTCAACCACACCATAAAGGTCGAACTGCGAAGGGTCTGGGACTTGATAAACGCGCAACGCAAAGGACCTGGCGGCGGCTTGGGTAGCTGTCTGGCGAACTGGCATACTGACAGCTTGCAGAGGTGGGTGCGGAGGTGGTTTCATGCGCACAAAGCTGTTGGAGCATCCAAACTCCTTGGCATCGATTTCAAGTTTGAATCGAAAGAGCATGGCCTTACATCGTGATTCCTGCCTTGCATGGGCTTCGTAGTCGTAGCGCACGAACTGCGCCAGGTCATGGAGGAACTCAGCAGAGGGCAGCGAGGAGGGCAGGAAAGGAAACATGGGCCACTGCAAGACCCAATCCGCGAAGGGCATGTGATAACCAGGCGCACGAAGGATAGCCCCCCATTCCAGGCTGAGAGTGGTTGGCCAACCATCAGCACCCAGGGCGCCGCGGTGACGGCCTGCGCAGGCCTGTTGGATTCCTTGCTCAAGCGTGGTGATCCTACGTAACTGTCGAAGCTTTTGCCGAGAGGCGACACTTGTGGCAGTGGTCATAGGCTGGGGGTCACCACAGCGGCCCGGTCTTGGGAGCCTAGCCGGGAGTTTGGGAACGCGCACCCTGGGTTGACAACGACCTCGGTAGGCTCTTGGTAGGCTGCGGAGGGGTTGCAGGTCAGGGTCAGACACATGTTGCGTTGCAATGGCTTGGGAAACAGACTCTTCAAGGGTGGCAGACCAAAGGCGCAAACGGTCACCTTCTTGGACTTCACTCGCTGCGCACAGCGGGCCAAGGACAGGGCCAGAGCAGGCTTCATATGCACAGGCCAAGTCTTGAGTGGAGGGACCCAAGGGGGCCCACGACCTGGGGAGCCTCCAGTGGTAGAGATCATCTTGCTGGTCAGGCAAACGGAAGTGCAGGCGCATGGGTGCGTGAGAGTCAAACAGAAAGGAATCCACAAGGACATCAGCGCCAGACACATATTGCTGGAGAGCAGGGGACAGGAGGAAGGTATCGTGCCTGGTGGCACCCTTGCACGTGTTCGGTAAAGAGATTCCACGGGAGGCCTCAAAGAAATCTCCAAGCTCAACCCACCCAAGGTGACCGTAGGATTCCCAAATCGGGAGGTTGGACGGGTGGTCATTCAAGTCCCCAGCAATCAAGGTAGGAATGGGGCTCGCAGTGGCCAACTCAAAGGCCCAAGCCAAGAGTAAATTGTTCTTAGCAGCTGCCTCTGGGAGACAACGTGGCACACCATAGAGGGTGAGTATCCTCAGCTCCATGGATTTAACTCGGACGTAACACTCCATGATTCGACACGTGGTGGCACGCTCTGGCGGTAACTCGCAGAGGGCAGGCCGGCAAGGAAGAGTGGAAAAAGTGGCCACACCAAGAGCGTAGCTTCGTAGCATGGCGCGGCCAGAGGACTCGTGGTAACGGGTGGGCGTAGGGTAACCCCAAAGAGAACGAAACCCCTTGCGCCGGAGGCGCTTTGACATGATTTGCTGGACCTCGCTGCAGGCCGAGGTCTCAGACGCACATATAACATGTGCCCCAACGGATGCCAAGGCATCCTCTTTGCCCAAGATGGTCGTGGGGTTAATGACTGCGACAGTAATCTCAGAAGTGGAGCAAGGGCCAGGATTGGTAGCTTCACCGAACCGAAAACCCCGAAAGAACCAAAAAGAAAGGACCGAAAACCAACCACAACCAAAGAGGGCACCCCGTGAAGAGCAGCAAATGGGCCCAGACAAGCGAATCCCAACCCCCCCTTCAAGGGCCCCAGAAGGGGGGGTTGGAAAAGCAGGTTTCCGGCCCAAAAATGGCATTTCCAGACCTACGTTCTCAGCGTGAGAATGGGGGTCTGGGAAAGTCGTGTTTGCCCCTAATAGTCAGGATTTGCCCTCGAGCTCCATCCCATGCTCAAGCTCTTCGGCTGCGCGCTTAGCAGCTATGCCTGGGCGGGGGGCTTGGAGCAAGAGAATGGCCTTGAGCTCATCAAACCCTGCTTGTGTTTGTTGCTGCTGAAGGGCCTGCGACTGCTGCAGGGAACACTAAACCCTAAACCTAAACCCTACAGCCTAAGCCCTACCCCCTAAACCCCAAACCCGCTAAACCCCAAACCACCAAAAAAAAAAAAAACCTAAATCCCTAATCCCTAAACCCTTAGTATGTATTGGGGGGCTTGGCCTCTAGTGTGTTCCTCTTCTTGTTGAGAGTCGCAGCGGAAGCGTGCAGAGGATAAAGCATCGAACTGGGGCAACCCTCCTTCTCGCCGACCCCGATTGCTAGCCTGGACCCTGATCGGGGTTTAGGGTTTGGGGCTTAGGGCTATGAGGTTTCTGAGGTTTATGAGGTTTATGAGGTTTATGAGGTTTATGAGGTTTATGAGGTTTATGAGGTTTATGAGGTTTATGAGGTTTATGAGGTTTATGAGGTTTATGAGGTTTATGAGGTTATGAGGTTTATAAGGTTTAGGGCTTAGGGCTTAAGGCTTAGGGCTTAATTAGGGGTTAGGGCTCAGGGCTGATAAAACGTACAGGTTAGGGTCTCGAATCCCAGGTGCATCCATCAGACCAACCAGAGCGTGAAGGCGCAGCAGGTGGCAGCGCTCCCGGTGTTCGTGGCGCGCTCGGCGGAGATGCTGGTGCTCTGGGACGACACCTACTTTGAGAGGCTTGTAGTTTAGGGTTTAGGGTTTAGGGTTTAGGGTTTAGGGTTTAGGGTTTAGGGTTTAGGGTTTGGGGCTCTGGGACGACACCGACTGCGAGAGGTGCCCTTTGGGGCTTATAGGGTTCCTAAACCCTAAGCCCTAAGCCCTAAACTCTAAACCCTAAACCCTAAACCCTAATCCCTAAACCCTAAACCCTAAACCCTAAACCCTAAACCCTAAGCCCTAAGCCCTAAGCCCTAAGCCCTAAACCCTAAACCCTACACCCTAAACCTGAAGCAAACCCTAACTCCCCTACTCTTCAGAGGTTCAGGATTGATTGTTTTTGTGGGACTGCGCTTCCCGTTCTAACGCCCACTCAACGAGAATGGATGAAGGGTTCAGGGTGTAGGGCTTGGGGTTTAGGCCTGTTTTCAAAACTCCAAAATTTCAGAGGCCGCAGCCTTCGGGGGTTCGGGCTTCGGGTTTCGGATCTATAGGGACGCTTACACACCCGAAACCCTAAACCCTAACGGAAGCGTAAACGCTAAACCCTAGACCCTAGCCTAGACCCTAGACCCTAGACCCGAGACCCTAAACCCTAAACCCTAAACCGTATACCCTAAACCCTAAACCCCCTAAACCCCCTAAACCCCCTAAACCCTAAACCCTAAACCCTAAACGCATCGTGGAGGCTATGGTGCAACATGGAGATGGCCACCTTCGCGAAGTATTCTGGGAGCCCGCAGAGCATGAAGTTCCTGCCATTGCGGCTGGGGCTTAGGGTTTAGGGTTTAGGGCTTAGGGTTTAGGGTTTAGGGTTTAGGGTTTAGGTTATACCAGATATCAGCCTCTTTAAGTTGGGGCAAATGTCAGGCAAGCAAATTGGCGTCGGAAGTCACGCAGGGAATCGCGTAAATGTTCACGTAAATGAATTGGCTCCTGTAAGCAATCACGTAAAGATTCACGTAAATTTTCTATCACACAAAACTTTGTGTTATAGAAAATTTGCGTGAACCTTTTCGTGATTGCTTACAGGAGCCAATTGATACAAAATCGCTTGGTTTTTAAGCCTTAGGCCCGGAGTGGGGGGTGGGGGGGGGAGGGGTGGTGCTGCAATTTAGGAGTTTAATGGCCGCTCTGGGGCGCCCATTAAACACAGGGTTGAGGGTTGAGGGTTGAGGGTTTAATGACAATCGCCTGGCGGTGGTCATTAAACAAAAGGGTTTGGGGTTTAGGCGTTTCATGGCCATCGCCTGGCGGTGGTTATTAAACAAAAGGGTTTAGGGTTTAGGCGTTTAATGGCCATCGCCTGGCAGTGGCCATTAAACAGGGTGTCAGGGCTCTTAGACAACCTTGGGTTTAGATCTCGGGTTTGGGGCTCGGGTTTAGGGTTTAATGGCCATCGCCTGGCGGTGGTCATTAACAAGGTTGGAGGGCCTGCGCTTCGGGGCTGGGGTTTAGGGTTTCTAGGTGTTTTGGGGTTTAGGCTTCTAGGATCGCCTGACGGTGGTCATTAAACAGTGTCAGGGCTCTTAGCCAACCTTGGGTTTAGGTCTCGGGTTTAGGAATTTTGGGCTAAGCGGCTTAGGTTTAAGCACTGTTGCTCCATGTCGGCCGCGGTGCGGCTGCTTAGGCTTTAGGGGTTAGGTCCTCCAACCCTGAACCCTTAAACCCCCTAAACCCACCTTAAAAGGGAAAGGGTTTAGGGTTTAATGACCATCGCCTGGCGGTGGTCATTAAAAAGGTTGGTTGGAGGGCTTGCGCTTCGGGGCTGGGTTTCAGGGTTTACGTCGTTTAGGGTTTAGGGTTTATGCAGGTGTGTTGCTCTAGGCTGGTGAAACTTGGCTGCGGAGCCACTTTTCGTGTATCTTGAAGAGTACAAAAAGGGTTGCCCCATCGCCTGGCGGTGGCCATTAAACAGGGTGTCAGGGCTCTTAGACAACCTTGGGTTTAGATCTCGGGTTTGGGGCTCGGGTTTAGGGTTTAATGGCCATCGCCTGGCGGTGGTCATTAACAAGGTTGGAGGGCCTACGCTTCGGGGCTGGGGTTTAGGGTTTCTAGGTGTTTTGGGGTTTAGGCTTCTAGGATCGCCTGACGGTGGTCATTAAACAGTGTCAGGGCTCTTAGCCAACCTTGGGTTTAGGTCTCGGGTTTAGGAATTTTGGGCTAAGCGGCTTAGGTTTAAGCACTGTTGCTCCATGTCGGCCGCGGTGCGGCTGCTTAGGCTTTAGGGGTTAGGTCCTCCAACCCTGAACCCTTAAACCCCCTAAACCCACCTTAAAAGGGAAAGGGTTTAGGGTTTAATGACCATCGCCTGGCGGTGGTCATTAAAAAGGTTGGTTGGAGGGCTTGCGCTTCGGGGCTGGGTTTCAGGGTTTACGTCGTTTAGGGTTTAGGGTTTATGCAGGTGTGTTGCTCTAGGCTGGTGAAACTTGGCTGCGGAGCCACTTTTCGTGTATCTTGAAGAGTACAAAAAGGGTTGCCCCAAAACCGTTTAAAACCGTTTTGGAGCGCCCCAGTGTGCCGGCAAAACCGTTTTAAAACCGTTTTTAATAGTTTTGAATAGTTTTGGATTTTTGACCCCATTTACGGTGCCCCAAAACCGTTTAAAACCGTTTTGCAGCCACCCAAAAAAGCACCATATAGCAACTGCAATGTAACCATATGAATGCTTTACAACATCGTGATCATCGTGGCATAAATGGAAGTATGTGGTTATTCCAGATGAAACAGGAGGTGGTCTATGAAGAAACAATTTTACTTTCCTCTGAAAGTCGAGACTTTGGTTCTTCGACACAACGAGTTCTGAAACTACTTTTCTCTAATCAACAAATTCCATGGGTGCTACGTTTTACCCATAGTCTAAGAATCTTTTGGCCCGCGAAAGTGCGCCAAAGAATGCTGGCGGCCTTCGAAACGAAGGGATGCTCTACGGCGTTATTGAGCCAAAGGGCAACAGAAACCTTTGCGCCAGGCATGCGAAAAGCTGGAATCTCCAGCTCCAGGCGCGCTTTTGGCCCGCGAAAGTGCGCCAGGGGATGCTGGCGGCCTTCGAAACGAACGGATGCTCTACAGTGTTATAGAGCCAAAGGGCAACAGAAACCTGTGTGCCAGGCATGCAAAAAGCTGGAATCTCCAGCTCCAGGCGCGCTTTTGGCCCGCGAAAGTGCGCCAGGGGATGCTGGCGGCCTTCGAAACGAAGGGACGCTGTGTGGTGGCTCTACCTACACATAGAGCCAAAAGGCCACAGAAACCTCTGTGCCAGGCGTACGAAAAGCTGGAATCTCCAGCTCCAGGCGCGCTTTTGGCCCGCGAAAGTGTGCCAGGGGATGCCGGCGGCCTTCGAGACGAAGGGGTGCTCTACGGTGTTGTAGAGCCGAAGGGCAACAGAAACCTTTGTGCCAGGCCTGGGCCTGCAAACCCTGCGCTTCTTTTCGACTTGACCCTAACGATTTACGTGACTTCCGACGTCATTCACTACATAGGTTCCGACGTAATGCCCTACATACTTTTACATATCCTCAGTTAAAAAGGCTGATATCTGGTATAAGGTTTAGGTTTTAGGGTTTAGGATTCAGGGTTTAGGGTTGTAGGGTTGTAGGGTTGCAGGGTTGCAGGGTTGTAGGCTTTAGGGTTTAGGGTTTGGGATTTCGGGTTGAAGGTTCGGGGGGTACCCTTCTTCCCCTCATTCTGAGGTGGTTCGCCCCAACCCCCCCCTGCCCCCCGCCCCGCTCGCCCAACACTCCCCCAAACACTAAAAGACTTCCGTTGTCTTATTTAAGAGTTCAGGGTGTACCCTATAAACCAAAAACCCAAAACCCTAACCCTCTCAACCCCATGAACCCTACAAACCCTACAAACCCTATAAACCCTATAAACCCTATAAACCCTATAAACCCTATAAACCCTATAAACCCTATAAACCCCCTAAACCCTCTAAACCCTAACCCTAAATGGCTAGTCTTTACATGTCACTGAGGTGGCTGCCTTCATGGCTCCTATCCTCTAAACTCTATAAACCCTAAACCCTAAACCCTAAACCACTGAGGTGGCTGCCTTCATGGCTCCTATCTTCGATTCTTCTCGATCTGCTTGGGGTCAACTTCCTTCGCTGCATGGAAGAGAGTCCAGGCCTCGAAGGCGTCATAAAGAATCTGGGCCGCTGAGAAAACTTAGGGTTGAGGGTTTAGGGTTTAGGGTTTGGGGTTTGGGGTTTGGGGTTTGGGGTTTGGGGTTTGGGGTTTGGGGTTTGGGGTTTAGGTTGACTTGTACCCCCCCCCCCCCCCTAACTCCCACAGATACTAGGCACATGGAGCCCAAGGTGGTGGAGTGTCAAGGCAACACGGTAACACCAAGAATCCTCATTGGGTTTCCCTACTCCGCCCCCCCGGGGGGGGGGGGGGGGGTGTAGTATAGAGGGGTAGTAGGGGAGCCTATGAAAAGCGGGCGTTAATGCCAGAAGTTTTTTTTTCGGCTGGATTTTTGGCCCAAAAGTTTGTTTCATGAGCGATCTCCATTATGTTATGTGGTTGATGTGCTGATATTCCATTTTCCGGAGGGTGTCACTCCAAAAATGGGGAGTTTAATACCGGAAAGTAGTCCGGCAGAATTTCCCGAATGCTTCACTTCAGAAGAGGCAATCCTAGAGAGTGCCGGAGCTGGTTGAGGGAATATCGCCTCTGCTTCACGAAGAGCCACCCTAAACCCTAACCCTAAACCGTCTGCAGTGACTGCAGTCTCGAATGAACCTCTTTATTTCTTGCTTAAAGCAGGCCAAGCTCCCAGGCTCAGAAATCATGAGCTGCAGAGCCGAAAGCATCGATTCCTTATTACTCAAACATCTCCAACAAAAAAGCCAAATACATCCGGCAAGGCTATAGAGGAGAAGCCCCCGAAGGGAAGAGGCCCAGAAGAGTCCCGGAACGTGGGGTGGGGGTGGGGGTGGGGGGTGGGTGGGGGGGGGGGGGGGGGGGGGGGGGGGGGGGGGGGGGGGGGGGGGGGGGGGGGGGGGGGGGGGGGGGGGAATGTATCAAGGAGGCATTCGGTTAGCAGCAAGGAAGCCTGATTTTTTTGCAGGTGCACATGATGGCAGCTTTGTTTGAATTCCTTCGCAGCCTCTGAGGAAGTGCATCAAGCTTGGTGATGTCCTCTTCGGGGCGTCGGAAGAGGTGCACGACTTTTTCCACGCATTTCTTGAGGTCTTCCCCTACTTCGTCTGCTATCTTCCGGTTGCATTGCCCACGATTCTCTCCTTCAGAAACAAGATTCAGGGACACCGGCTGATGCTCGAACAGATGGCGAGCTTCGACCTCCGGAACGCCAAGTGCTCTGTTGAGGCGGATCGGCCGCTGGTGGAAGAACAGGTTGCTTTGCATTTCAAGCCAGAGATTGACACTGAAGTCATTGTTGCGGGTGCCTCTGGGCCAGATCCAGAAGCAGTTGAGGCTGAGTCATCGAAGGAGGCGGCGCTGGAGAGGTTTAACAGCTATGTTCAAGGGCCTCTTCGCGCCAACGTCCTGGATTGCATCGGGGATACCCGGGACGTGCCTTTGCCCTTGTGCTACCTATGCTTCCTGCCCATGTCCACGTACTTTGCGGTCTCCGTCTCGCCGGTGGCCTTTCAGGGCTGCGACATATCGCCTGAGACTTACCTCGAGGCTTATACCCTACCCCTCCAGAACCCTAAACCATGAACCCTAAAATTCCGGTTAGACTACTAGAAAGAAGTTGGGTGCCCCCCCCAACGAGGGAGGCCCTCAACCCTACGGGGGTTTCCGAAATTCGGGGTACCTTCTTGGGGTCCTTTAAAAGGGAATCCTACAATTGGGGGTCAATTTTAGGGTTCCCTTATTGTCGTAAACCCTTTTTTGCCCCCGAGAGAACTCTGCAGGAAAGGAAAGTCCTGGATTGGACGAAGACCTAGATGCCCTAAATAGCTATACCTTAAACGCCCTAAACACCCTATAAATACCCTAAACACTCTAAAAACCTAAACCCTAAACCCTACACCATACCCTAAACACCCTCCAGCCTATAAGGAAAGCCTGGGATTCTCCAACAAATGGCACATGATGGCGAGCTTTGGCATCGGCTGGCTTTTTGCCCAGCTGCTTCCGGGCTGACATTCAGGGAAGCCAATTCAGCTGCCATGGCAGGGAAAACTTGTTGGTTTCGGGTCTAGGGCTTAGGGCTTAGGGAGCTTAGGGTTCCGGGCTTAGGGTTTAGGGTTTAGGGTTTGAGGGTTTGAGGGTTTCAGGGTTTCAGGGTTTGAGGGTTTGAGGGTTTGAGGGTTTGAGGGTTTGAGGGTTTGAGGGTTTGAGGGTTTGAGGTTTTGAGGGTTTGAGGGTTTGAGGGTTTGAGCGTTTGAGGGTTTGAGGGTTTGAGGGTTTGAGGGTTTGAGGGTTTGAGGGTTTGAGGGTTTGAGGGTTTGAGGGTTTGAGGGTTTGAGGGTTTGAGGGTTTGAGGGTTTGAGGGTTAGGGTTTGAGGGTTTAGAGCACAAGTTCCTGAACAGCAACCCAGGCTTGCGTATCCCGTCACTTTCCCAGTGCTTCTGCGCCTCCTTCACAAGGCAGCTTGCTGACTTTGGTTTTCCCTAAATCGTAGGGTTTAGGGTTTAGGGTTTAGGGTTTAGAGTTTGAGGGTTTGAGGGTTTGAGGGTTTGAGGGTTTGAGGGTTTGAGGGTTTGAGGGTTAAGGGTTTAAGGGTTTAGGGTTTTGGGGTTTAAGGTACGCCCCTAAAGCCCAGTAGAAGGTGGAGCAGGTATCTGATCTTGCATGGGTTCAGCTGCTGCTTGGCCTGGTGTCCAGCTGCTTCGCCTATGCCTACGGCTTCTTCTGCTCCAGCGTTCCTCTGTCATTCTGGGCCAACATGTTATTTCATGTTTAAGGGGTACTTAAACTCAATGAGGAATGGCAATAAATACATAAATAAATAAATATAAATATATATATGTATATACTTATGTTTAAAGTAATATCCCAACCATGAACTAGGTTCTGTGGGGCTGCGCCATTGCGGCGAGCAAGAGGCGGGCGGGGTTTGTCAAAATCAAAATGGGCCCTCTCCGCCCCAGACCGTTAAACCGTAAGCCCCATTGAAGGGTTTCAGGGTTTAGGATTTGGGGTTTTCCTTCAAACCCTCTATACCACCGATGAGTAGCAACTACCCTATATTAGTAGATATAACCCATAAAACTGTAGGGTAAAGAGGGTTCGTCGAACCATGTCTGGAATTCGTCGAAGGCGACAGTCCTTTGAGCCCTTATCCTCGTCTAATAGGGTCCCCGAAGCCTCTCCCCCCCAAAAGGTACTCGCAAGAATCTGAGACTTGAAAGTCGTGGTTAGGGCCCTAAAGCCTGAACTCTAAACCCTAAACCCTAAACCCTAAACCCTAAACCCTAAACCCTTTTTGGGGGGCCAAGGCTCCCTTGGCTCTGAAAGCCCGTAGATGCCTTTGCACCCTCCCCCACCCCGTTCAAACCCTAGCTCTACACCCTAACCCCATACACCCCCAAATTCTACAACCCCAAGCCCCACACCCTAGCCCTAAACCCTAAACCCTAAACCCTTGACCCACACACCCTACAACCCCTAAGCCCCTCAACCCTAAACCCTAAACCCTAAACCCTAAACCCCTAAGCCCCCTAAACCCCCCCTTCCAACAAAAGGTTGACCCTTGCCTGGGTCACCGGCTACCTCCTTGTCTTGGGCTTTATGATTCTGCAGCTCTGGTCACCGGACTCCGTCTTGCTAAAGGTGGGTTTAGGGTTTAGGGTTTAGGGTTTGGGGTTTAGGGTTTGGGGTTTGGGGTTTGGGGTTTGGGGTTTGGGGTGTAGGGTTTAGGCAAGCTTATCTCCTCGAAATCTCTACATCGAATGCAACATACAGTCTCCAAAAGATACATTCCAATGACATCAGGCCCTGCATTTGGGGGGTGTAGGGATTTAGGGGTTTAAGTCTAACTTTGTAGAGTTTTTCGGCTGAGTGGGTGGGGGGATGAGGGATTCCTTCGCGTGTCGGGGGGGGGGGGGGGGGGGGGGGGGGGGGGGGTGGGCGGTAGAACCTAAAACCCGGACTTAGGGACTACAACTCTGCAGCTCGGGCGCTGAGTCCTCGAGAGGTCTTCAGAGGTTTCGGGTTTCGGGTTTGGGGTTTAGCGTTTAGGGTTTGGGTTAAATTTGCGGGGGAGGGACCTCTGGTCTTTTAGTCTACCGAACTTGAAAAATGCTCAACCATTCAAGGCTTCAATCCTAGATCATCCTCCCCACCCCCCACCCCTACCCGCCCGTGCCCCCCCCTCCCTACCCCGACCCTAAACTGTAAGCCGAAACCCCTAAACCCTCAATTCCCACGCTTAGGCGGCCATCACGGTCGAAGCGCACTCGCAGCGACCCTAAACCCTAAACCCTAAACCCAAAACGCAAAACCCACAACCCACAACTCAAAACCCAACCCAACCCCCCCCCTCCAGACCCTTCCGGCTGAGGTTCTTTTTCGGGCCCAGGCAAAGCTTGGGCGCCAGCAGCTGCAGGTGCTTGGAGTACCGAGGTGAGCCCCTCCATGTAGGGTTTAGGGTTTAGGGTTTGGGGTTTAGGGTCTGGGGTTTGGGGTTTAGGGTTTAGGGCTTAGGGTTTAGGTTTTTCTTGTTTTTTTTTCTGGTGGGGGGGGGGATTGCGGTTTTGGGGTCTTGGGTTTTGGGCTTCAGGGGTTGACAGATCCCCAAGTCCCTATGTTAGGACCCGGGGTGTGTCCGGGTTTCGTCTTTCTTTTTATTCCTAGGTTCCTCTTGGGTCTGGTATGTCATGTCGTGGAACTAGCGTTTGGGGTTTGGGGTTTTAGAGTTTAGGCTCTGGGTTCCCTTATACAGTAACCAACCAATAAATGGGTGCCCTTATTAGAATATGGTACCCCGTAATGGCGTCTTGGTGCCTTGAGCTGATCGAGAGCCTTTCAAAGAGGTCGGGGGGGGGGGGGGGGGCCACCTGGCATGTGACGATGTGTTCATTTCTCGAAAATATGGTTCCCTCTTGGGGTCATTTTTCTAAGGCTGCTCCTATTCTTTCGGGTGCCCAAAAAGGGGCCCTAATCTAGAGAACTGAACCATGTATGTTATGAAAGGTGTAGCAGGGTTGGAGTTTTTGGATCTCCGGGAGGGGTCCTGACATGTCGTTTCCTTGTTGTGCGCTGGACAACATGAGGCTGCGCGTGCTGCAGGTGGGAGTCAGTGAACATCTGCACTGATTTCCTTGTCACTGCTTATCCGGGACCTCGAACATCCGTTGACAACACTTCTGATGCTTGCTGTCCAGAAGCTCTGAAGGGCAGGCAGGTACTTTGGCCTTCATGATGACAAAGAATGACTTTGGGGCGTTGTAAACTGCCAGACTATGGCGTGCTGAGACCAGATCCCCGAAACCCTAAACCCCTAAACCCCTAAACCCCTAAACCCCTAAAACCCCTAAACCCCTAAACCCCTAAACCCCTGAACCCCTAAACCCCTAAACCCTAAACCGATCTGCCTTCTCCCCTGCTTCGCCTACGCGCATCTACCTCCCCAAGGGGCAGAGCTTTTGAAACTCAACCTGCTGTCTGAGATCCTACTTAGCCACAGTTGAACTTTCAACCCCTTGGGTTTCCTTTTTTGTAGGAAGAATGAAGCTCAACCTTTGGTTTCCCCTTGGTTCTTGGAGAGGTAAGTCAACCCACTGTCTGAGATTTGACATCCATGTGCCCTTGGCATACATGTGCCGTTCTACCGCTAATCTCTGGGACATGTTTGTGGGACAACGAAGGAGGGTACTCTAACAAGGGTCAGAAAGCTACCTAAACCCCAAAACCTAAACCCGTGACCCCTGGTGAAGAACCCAACTACGGTCCTAAACCCTGAACCCTGGACACTCATTGCTGGTTACTAGGAGAACTGACGCTTATTTTTTCAACTCCAAGCCCTCTAAGCCCCACAGGCACACTCTTAAAAGCCGCCGTGCAAGCCCTAAACCCGAAACCCTAAACCCTAAATCCTAAACCCTAAACCCGAAACCCTAAAGCCTAAACCCTAAACCCTAAACCCTGAATCTTGAACCCTGAATCTTGAACCCTGAACCCTGCAGCCCTAAGGCCCTAAACTTAGACCCTCAACCCTAGACCCAGCAAAACCCTCAACTCCCAAACCCTGCAAAACTAAACCCTAAACCCTAAACCCTAAACCCTAAACCCTAAACCCTAAACCCTAAACCCTAAACCCTAAACCCTACAAACCCTAAATTCAAAACCCTACAAGCCCTAAACCCTGTTCCTTGGGCAGACTTGGGAATAATTGTCATTTTGGGGTTCTAGAATTCCTCAAAAGCAGCTGAAACGATGATCTTTGCTAGGGTTCCAAGCTCAGTAAACCCTACAAACCCCAAACCCTATTTCCCTAAACCCTAAACCCTAGGGCTCCAAGTATACAAGTAATACCCACATTGGGCTCTAAAGTCTGTGGCTATTTGGAGCCTTACTTGGAGGTTCATGAGTACTTATAACCCCAGTTAAAATTTGTTTCCTACTTACGGGACTTAGGGGGGCTTATAAGTACAGACACAATTCCCTAAACCCTAAACCCTGAACCCTGAACCCTGAACCCTGAACCGTAAACCCTGAACCTCCAAGCAGGGTAAGCCACGAAATGCAGAATCTGCAGGCGGCGAGGACTCCAAGCCCATCCTGGGGCTCCGCTGCGCTGGTGATGGAGAGTGAGCTGGTTTAAGCCCGTTTAGGGCTTAGGGTTTTGGGTTTGAGGTTTAGGGTTTAGGTTTAGGGCTAGGGCCTACCCCCAAACCCGGAACCCTGTAAGCCACCAATCCTTAAACTCTGAAGCCCTAAACCCTTAAGCCCGAAACCCTAAACCCTATACCCTAGACTCTAAACCCTATACCCTAAACCCTAACCCTAAACCCTGAACCCTAAACAGCTTGGGGTTTGCCCCACTACTCGACTATTGGCGCGCAAATGCCGCCACTCGTCGCTCTCAGAAGTCGGGAGCAAAGGGGGATTCCATTCATCGTCCGACCTTCTCATAAACTTTAGGGTCTAGGGTTGTTGGGTTTAGAGTTATAGGGTTTCGGGTTAATTATGGGGTTCAGGGTTATAGGCTTTTGTTTGCTGACAGACACCAAGAGAGAAGCAGCTTTTTTTGGCAGGGGCACAAGTTATACATACATCTTTTCTGACCACCCCGCGCAAGTCCCACCAATATGCCCCCGAAACCCTACACCCGAAACCATAAACCCTAAACCCGAACCCTAAATTTGAGTGTGTTGCTCGTGCTGCTCAGAAGAAGCACCATGTGGTAGCCACATGCTAATCGCAGTCAATGTCGTTGAGGTTAAACCCTAAACCCGAAATCCTAAACCCTCAAGTCAAGGTTCTTCCAGGCGCGCTCAAGCTTCTCAACCCATCCAGAAGTTCTGACACCCCCCTAGCCCCAAGACCCCACATCATGAGCCATACATCCACAACCCTAAACCCCAAACCCTAAACCTTAAACCCTAAACCCTAAACCATACTTAGGCCACAAAAACCCTAAAACGCTTTGTGTGCGATGGTGCGACTTCGCCAGCCAGGCTCTGCTCAGGCAGGCGACCGTTTTGATGTAGGGTTTAGGGTTTAGGGTTTAGGTTTAGGGTTTAGGGTTTAGGGGTTAGGGTTTTTGAGGGTGGGAGCCCTAAAACCCGGCATCCTAAATACCAACAACCACACCTCAACAACCCCAGCCCGAGGGAATAGGGTTTAGGGTTTAGGGTTTATAGGGTTTAGGGTTTAGGTTTTAGGGTTCAGGGTTTAGGGTTCAAATGTCCTACACCTCAACACACCCTCAAACCCCAAGCCTTAACTGGGACTTTTGTGGCCAGCCGCACCGACATTGTGGGTCTGGGTTCAGGCTGAGGGCAATCTTAGACCCTCATTAAACCCTAAACCCGAACCTCTAAGCCCTAAACCCTAAACCCTAAACCCTAAACCCTAAACCCTAAACCCTAAACCGCACCTTTCTGTCGCACGAGGTGCTTTGCGACCAGGGCCTCTTCAGGGCCACCTCGGCGCTACAGTTGCTTTCAGGCTGTAGGGCTTGATTGTGCTGAGGGTTTAGGGTTTAGGGTTTAGGGTTTAGGGTTTAGGAATTAGGGTTTAGGGTTTAGGGCTTAGGGTTTAGGGTTTAGGGCTTAGCGGGTTGAGCGGGGTTTAGGGGGTTTTGCTTTGGCGGGAGGGGTCGGATGGTCACGTAAAGCAGAAACACGCATGGGCGAGTCTGATCAGCAAACCTTCGGTACAGGGCAACTCCTGCTACTTGGTGCACACTCTGCCGGCGTGCCGACTTTGCTTAGGAGAGGCCTTTAGCCAAAGGGTCTACAATGGGGTTTGGGCTTGAGCACTTGTACAACTTATACAACCCCTTAAGGCCCTCGAAGACATTAAGCCCTTAGAGCCCTAATCCCCAAACCCTAAACCCCAAACCCTAAACCCCAAGCCCTAAGCCCCAAACCCTAAGCCCTAAACCCTAAACCCTAAACCCTAAACCTTCAAAGTCCCTGAAAGCCCTGGTAGTCGAGCCGCAAGGCCTGGGGAAAGTGTTCGCCGAGGGTCTGACCGGAGTCATCGGCGTGTCGGAGGCGCACCCCGGGTTGAAATTCGAGGGTTTAGGGTTTAGGGTTTAGGGTTTAGGGCTTAATGTTTAGGGTTTAGGGCTTAGGGTTTAGGGTTTCTAAGGTTTTTTAGGGTTGCGTGGGGCGTTTAGGGTTTTTTGGGTATAGGGTATAGGGCTCTCGGGCTTTTTACAAAAAACCCTAAGTACTCCAAAGCGCTCAAGACCAAAACATCCTCAAGCCACCAAAATCCTAAGGCCCTACACCCTGAAACCAAAAACCCTAAAACCTTACATCCTAAACCCTACAACCCTAAAACCCTAGAACCCTAAAACCCTACAACCCTAAAACCCTAAAACCAAAGCCTACACCCTATAGATCCTAAACCCTAAACCCTAAACCCTAAACCCTAAACCCTAAACCCTAAGCCACTCTGGAGAGGCGTCGGGCCTGTTGGCTGCGGATGCCGCCTCTGCTGGGGACTCCTCCTTCAGTGGCACGGAGTGCGTCAGTCATGTTGAGGCGGCCAAGAAAGCTTGGGGTTCAGGGTTTAGGCTGCTGGGTTCAGGGTTTAGGTTTAGGGTTTAGGGTTTAGGGTTGAGGGCTTGGGCCTAGGGCTTAGGGCCTAGGGTTTAGGGCTTAGGGCTTAGATCCCTATACACCCTAAACCCGTTAAAATTTAGGGTGTGAGGTAGATCAAGTACATGAACCGAACCCACGTGCACCTGAGCCCCTGCAAGCCTCTTTGCTCCAAGCCCTGAAGCCCAAACCCTTCAAACCCCATACCCTGAACCCTGAACCTTGCTCCAGGGTTTAGGGTTTAGGGTTTAGGGTTTAGGGTGTGGGGTTTGGAGGTTTGGGGTTGGAGGTTTGGGGTTTAGGGTGCAGGGTTTAGGGTTAAGGGTTTAGGGTTTGGAGGTTGAGGGTTCCGGTCCTTGGCTGGAGCCTTGTCACGATGTCACCGTTGGTTTTGCCCGAGAATGAGCAAAGACGCACGTGTCTCGAGGTGTTTTTGCGCATGGTGAAGGGAACCCTAAACCCTAAACCCCAAGTGCCAATATCGACGAGCACAGTGAGCCTGGCTGCTCTATTCTCGCGCACCTTCAGTGGTGGGTCCTCTTGAGGGTTAGGTTTAGGGTTGAGGGGTTTAGGGTTTAGGGTGTAGGATTTAGGGGTTTAGGGTTTCCGATTCTGCA